TCTGCTTCCAAGGAACGCCTTGGCCAGAACCGCCTTGGCCAGCTACACCTTGTCCCTGGCCAGAGGCACCACTTTGTCCTCGGATTGGCAGACGCTCAAGACCTTTGGGGAAAGAAAAGGGAACAGGTATCTGATGCATTGGAGTAAACTTTACGTCACCTTCTTGACCCCGCCTGGGAATGCAACGCCCGCAGAGCCACTCCCAGTAGCACCACTGAAGTCTGGCAAATCATCCGAACGTTGGCCAAAGTCCCTCAATGTCAAACCAAGCAGCAACAGCAGCAGCAGCAGCAAGAGGAGCAGCAGCAACAGCAGCAGCAGCAGCAAGAGGAGCAGCAGCAACAGCAGCAACAGCAGCAGCAACAGCAGCAGCAGCAACAGCAGCGCGGGCAGCAACAGCAGCAGCAGCAGCAACAGCCGCAGCAGCAGCAACCAAGCAGCAGCAACCAAGCAGCAGCAACAGCAGCGTGGGCAGCAACAGCCGCAGCAGCAGCAACAGCAGCGTGGGCAGCAACAGCCGCAGCAGCAGCAACAGAAGCAGCAACAGCAGCAGCAGCGCTGGCAGCAAACTCTAGCTTTCTGGATCTAATTCAGCTGGCAGAAACAGCAGCAAAAGCAGGAGCAGCAGCAAGAGGAGCAGCAGCAACAGCAGCAGCAGCAGCAACAGCAGCAGCGGCAACACCAGCAGCAACAGCAGCAGCAGCAGCAGCAACAGCAGCGCGGGCAGCAACAGCAGCAGAAGCAGCAACAGCCGCAGCAGCAGCAACAGCAGCAGCAACAGCAGCTGCTACCAAGCAGCAGCAGCAGCAGCAACAGCAGCAGCAACAGCAGCAGCAACAGCAGCAGCAGCGCTGGCAGCAAACTCTTGTTTTCTGGATCCAATTCAGCTGGCCCAAACAAAGGTTTCAGAAATGCTCAGCATCCGCTGTAATTAGCAGCGATACGGCGATACCGCCATGTTCGTCTTTGTGGTTACCGCAAATGACTTCTCAGCCGGCCTTCTTCTGGTGGCGGCCCAATGGCAAGACCTGACCGTCTGTGCCGAAGGGGATCACATGGTCGACCATGTCCAACTCTGGTCTACCGAACTGGAGATATCTGGGATGCAGCAATCTGCGGTGAGCAAAAGGAAAGCGAACAGGGGAAGAGGCGTGTCGTTACATGTCGTTTATTAACTCAAGGACGAAAACTCATACGCAAAATCATATCATCTTGCATTTCGTCAGCATACAAAGTGCTCTTCAACCGCCTGCACCATCCCCAAGTCGGCACCCGTCTTTGCATTTCGCCTCGCTCAACATTGGAGCCGCATCATTTTGTGGAGATGTTTCGCTAGCCTTGTGAGTGTTGTTGTAGAACCAAGAGGAAGGTTGGCAGCTGTGTGTGTGTATGTGTCTCAGGATATCCCAAGTCATTTCTGTTGAAGGTTCCTTGCTGCAAAAAAGAACACAAAGAACACAATATCTGAGCTTGCTAAGCAAATCCTCTCACAGCACCTGATCACAGCACGCTTCCGGACGCCTGCCTTGTCGTCAGTACCAAGTGCATTAACTTTCATGGCATCATCTTCGCCCGACTGCCAGGCAGAAGCGCGACAGAGCACGATAACAGCAAGCAAAACAAAATCAAAGCAACACACTTTCTTCACGGAAACTCTCGGAAGGGTCTTCTATTCGGTTGTTACATACATGACTCAAGCTGCACATGTTTTTGTGTCATGTTTAGTTCTGGACTACTTGAGGCTACCTTCAAAACACACGATATAGAATTATATAGATGTGTAATAAATATCTGGTTGATTGATTGCATTGTGCACTGTGTCAAGTCATCGACTTTCTCGGCGATCCGATATATACATGGCGGGATAGGGTTCGATGCTGCCGACATACGAAGATCTCAGAGAAACCTTTTTTCAGCCCGTGGCCTTACTACTAGGAACAAGAAGCTACAAGGGGGCTCCTGGCCTTACTACTAGTAACAAGAAGCTACTAGGGGAGTAAATTCAGGGCGACTAGTTCGCTCCCGCTCCCAGTACGGATAGCTCGCTCGGTTCGTAGCGATGCCCTTTGCTCCTAGTAGCTTCTTGCTCCTAGTAGTACTGCCAGGAGCCCCGTTCGTAGCGTCCTTGCTCCTAGTAGCGATTTGGTTCCTAGATTTTTAGGGAAACTTACTACGGCTGGCCGAACGTGCTTGTGTCCGGCTGAACAAAAGCAACATGCACCGCAAGCGGAGCGGCGTGGAAGAGAAACTTGACCCGCCAACAATAAAGTCACAAGTATCCCTCATTGCTTTCTGAATGGCCAAGAGAACCGTAGAGCTTATTCTTACTTGCATAATCACGTCTTCCTTCCACTTCCGATTTAAAGATGGCAACCCCAGAAGCAAACAGTCCAAGTAAAAGGAAGTTACTGGCTGCGTGGTTGTACATGTCATGTCCGGATACAGTGGACCAACGGGATCAATGGGATCTAGATGCGAGGCTCCCAAAAGTCTCTGCTAGTACCACCATGCAAGGGGGTTGAGTCGATTGGTATTCACGATGGTCGCATTGACTCTTGCCGTTGTTCAATGCTCCTTTCCTTTCTTTGTTCTCCAGACCTTGGGAATTGTGTTTTCTTCCCCTCCCTTCAATTCCCTTCCCTTCCCTTCTTGTTCTTCATTCTTTCTTTATATTTCTTTTAATGTACCCAGAAGTCAAAAAGATCCCAAGAGCGCAAAAAGCTGCATGCAGGCTTTTTCGAATGCGCTTTGGTTGATGCTGGGGTCCTCCCCCAGACCCTGTATCATTTAGTCTGTTTCAAACTGCCCTGGACTTCGCCAGGGGGACAAGGGTGTGTCAGGCAGTAGGATTCGCCCGTCGCTGCCAAAACACCCGAATGTCCCCTGGTCTCCCAGGGCCAACAGGCACCTGTCGAGGTGCCAGGGGACAGGGTCGGGAGGACAGCCCACCGGATCCGGTCACGGGATCTTGGGTGGGCAACTAGGAAAAACCCGTTGCGGGCAAAAGTTTTGTAGCAAAAGGAAAAATGAAGAGAGTCTCCGGTGCCGGTAGCCGGCGATCTAAGGAGAATCCTTCAAAGTCCGGATGAGTCAATTCATCCGCCCAGGTGTTGTACTCCCTGGGGATGTGATTGGGAGCAATGCTACAGCCCTCACAATGAAGGAAGAGAACCAATTCCATTAGCAGCGCCGCCGAGTAAGGTTTCTTGGCCGAGAGGTTGAGCAGGCTGAAGATGTTGCCTGAGTTGTCACTGCCCACCGGGAGACGAACTCTTCCCGGCAGCTGGCCCTGTTGGGCCAGCAGGTGCTTGCAAAGAAGTAGCGTGCCCAGGAGTTCCAGGGCAGCAATGCGTTTCTGAGGGTTGCCATCCTTGAGTGCCCACGGATGGGCGTCTGCTGTAATGGCATAGTGGAACCATAGGACCTTGTCCTTGGTGGGGTTCGGGGAGGCCGAGCACCAGCCCCCAACATAGGCTTCGCCTGTCTTTGATGCACTAGCATCACTGCATCCCCACCAAGGCGACTTTGGCAGGAAGGGTGAGTACTGCTCAAAGGGGTGCGTGAAGAGCTCCTTCAGGAGGGCAGCCAACATGCGGACCACCTTGGGTGGATGGCCCATCGTTCTGGCCCATGGCCTTCTCAATGGCCTTGGCTGACATGGGGGATCCATTGGCAAGCTCCTCCAGGAGCTCCATGACCTTGATGCGCTTGGGGGCCGCCATCTGGACTCGAGGTATGGTTGGGTGGATCACGAACCCAAGCCAGGCGTTGATCTCTGCCAAGTGAGTCTTCTTCCAGATAAGGGGCGTTCCCAAAGCCACCAGTGTGCCCAATAGCGCCGCGGTGAATTGGCAGGCGAAGGAGCCAGCACAAATCGTCGACGAAGACAAAGCCCCAGTCGATCTGTGGGAAAAGGTAATAGAGGATCCGCAGGAGCAAGGCCGCCATTCTGCCCCAGTAGAGCTGCGCACTTGCCATGCCGTAGGTGCCCACTTTGTTGACCCACCATTCGTTGTCCAACTGTGCTACCTGGAATCGCCAGTCCTGGGGCAGGACCTTGATTCGTCGGTGGGCCTTAGTTACATCAGCCTTCAGCAGGATCCATTGGCTGTCCTTAGCGGGCCACTCCCAGGCTGGGGTTGGGTCATCCAGGCCCTCTGCCCGCTCAGGGCCAAAGGCTCCGGCTAGGCCGGGGGCGTGTGCCGGCCTCGGTATGTCTGGCGGCATGGAGCCAATGGATTGCGTGGACGTGGGCGCCGTGGTCCGCTCCTTAGTGTTTTGTTGGATCTTGGCATTTGCTCCTCCAACCGATCTTTCTCTGGAGAAGTCTGCTGCCGATGGGTAATTGTGGTGTCCCTTGGGGTCATCCAGTGGAGCTTCCACTGGGTCTTCTCCCGCAAGCTCACTCTTGAGAGGCCACACTCCCGGTGAAGGGAGGGTGGGATCCGAAACCCCAGAGGAACACCTGTAGCGAGAATCTGAGGGTACTGCCAGTCTGGGTCCCCGGCTGTGTTGGCTAGTTGCGAGATCAGATCCAAGTAGAAGGGTTGCCCGTCTGGTGTAGTGTGTTGGTGGCCGGGGTGAAGGACCTGCCGGATGTCTTCCAGCAGTGGGTCCGGGTATGGGTGTTGTTTGGACCGCGCGTAATCGACCACATGACTTGGTCGAGGATCTTGGCTCCTACGCGGGCCAGTGTGGATGCCCCCGTCCCGTAGTGGTCTGGTCTTGAAAGCCACCTGGAGGCGCATCAAGGGATCGTGGAGCGAGAGATCCTCTCTGAGATTGGATCATACTTGGGGCAATCGGACCACGTTGTGCTAGTGTGCCAGGTATCCCCCGCCGTAGATCGGGGGGAGGCCGCGCTAGCCGCGGTGCTGCCTTGGGTAAGGCCTGCGATAGCCCTGGCTGCTTTGCTGGCGCGGGATGGGTTTGCGCCGAGTGCCCTCCTCCCTGGACCTTTTGGAAGAAGGGTATTGGTCCGTGTCCCCGGTGTTTGGGTTGGTAGGTTTGGGGGGGACCTGGAGGACCTTGGCGATGGCCTGAGCCAAGCCGAGCATCATCTGGTCCGGGTAACGGCTGAGGTCACTGGATTGAAGGTCTTCTAGGGGTTGGTGCCCAGAGTGGTTGCAGCGGAGATCCTGCCAATGGTGCAATGGGAGGTCAGTCGACAGGGTAGTGGCCTTGACCACCATCTGACCCAGTCTACACTGGTCGAACTTGATGCGGTGGTGGTGCAACTGGTTGGCCCACTTGATGTACGCTCGGGTCACCCACAGTGAGGAGCACTTGTGTGCCTGGGGGCTGGCGCTGACCTCCATGGGGTCTCTGGGGTGTTCCAGAAAAGAGTACCCCACCCGCGGTGGGTGGCATTGGGCGAGGCCTTGATATGCCAGTGATGTTAGGTACATCTGGCGGATCACCAACATGCTGTCGTTGTCCGTGTCGATCTGCTCCTCTGGTCGGCGACCCGCGATGTCTTCCCCATAGAACCACTCATACCATTCATCCAGGGTCTCCGTGGACAGTCGCAGGTGGGCGAACTGTGGCTGGCCCGCAATGCACATCAACAAGGTGGTCCTGAACACCGTGTGCATTCGCTCCAACTGTCGTCGTCCGGTCGGCTCTTCCTCATCTGCCCGGTCCCAGCCATCCACCGACACCTTTCGTGTGGTTTTGACGGGGCGTTCCCCGTCCTCCGGAAGGGCCCCAGCCCCGACAATGTGCTTGGCCTGAATGTAGCCAAGTTCCGGGCCGCAATGTGCTTGAACTGCCGTTTCAGGTATGCATCACTGCCCTGAGACTCCAGGCGGGGTTTCAGGCAGTTGTAGGCCTCAGCATAGGCGGTCTCCAAGACCCGCCGATCGCAGAGGCTGTGCAGAGGGCCCTTGGCCGTGCCTGGGGGTTCCGTGGCCGTCGTGCGGCCAACATGAAGCTGTGTCTGAGCCATTGACTTGGCCGCTCTAACCACCTGCAAAAGGCGCATGGCAGTGAACCGGGAGGAGTTGTTCTCCCCAGCCTGGAACTCCAGGTCCCTGGGCCCTTGGGCCCTTGCCTCCTGCGGGGTGTTCCACCGGTCCCCAGGTCCTCCACAGTCACATAGCCCTCCTGGGCCAGTTTGGCCTGAACTACCCAGGGGATTTGTTTGGCAACCAGAATGAGAGCCAATGGTTTCGTTAGCAGGTCCAAAAATGGTTGGAGCGCGTCCGGTGCCTCAGTCGGGGGTTTCACAGGTTCCGCTGGAGGGCCGCCGCCAGCTCCCCCTCCGCCACCAGCAGCCCCCGGTGGAGCTGCCATCATGGGCGGGTTGGGTGGGTTTTCTTCCAACCTTCAGGCGCAATCCTGTGGATGATTGCCACCAGCTTGAGCCAAAATGTCCCGGTGGGACATTTTGTGAACTTCAGTGAACATAAAACTTGCATCCGCAAGCTACCTGCAAGTGTGAATATGTACCCAGAAGTCAAAAAGATCCCAAGAGCGCAAAAAGCTGCATGCAGGCTTTTTCGAATGCGCTTTGGTTGATGCTGGGGTCCTCCCCCAGACCCTGTATCATTTAGTCTGTTTCAAACTGCCCTGGAC